TATATATATATATATATACCTACATCTGTATCTAAATGTATATATGAGTACATACACTGAAGGAAAAGACTAAAATTTTTAAGAAATTCAGGTAAAATATTAAAGACAGAACCATCATACAGTCAATAAAGGTAAGGACCTAAAGAAAGATCAATTAAAAAAAATCATAAAAAGGTCTGGAAAAAAAAAATGAGGCATTGTTTCTCCTTTTTACTCCAGCTGACTTGATTTTCATAGGGAAACTGTATATTCTGTTGTCAGACTTGTCAGATTAATTAAAAAGTACAAAGCCACAATGAAGGGGAAGTGGACCAGCAGAAACTCTGTGTTTGAGAGAAAGTTAAAAATCGGGGGACGGGGATTTAGCTCAGTGTTTTCGCCACCTGCTGCACAAGAGCAAGGACCTGAGTTCGATCCCTGGTACACAAAAAAACACAAAAAAACGGATGGTTTCAAAGTGCTATAGGTTGGTTCAGCTTTCAATGTATGATCCAGATGCTCTTGGAGGTCCCCAGTATCCTTTCAGAGTGTCCAGAGGTCAAAGCTATTTTCATAACAAGGAGAGCTTATCTGCCCTTTGCAGCTCAGTGTCTCACAAGTACACAGAAGGGCTCCATGAAATGAGATGATGCCACAGTTCTGACGGCCAATGTTTTCTGCTATTTTAAATGCTATCAGTGTTCAGTTCTCACAGCAAATTCTGATGGGCAGAACCTGTACAAACAAAAGCTCTTTGAGGTTCTCAATAATTTTTAAATGTAAATGGGTCCTGAGACCAAAAGAGGAGAAAGGCATTGGTTTACATAATCACATGAAAAAGGGAATCTGCACAGCAGCTAGAAACCACTATACATTTTTTGGGGGGGCGGTTATCAGGGATTGAACTCAGGACTCTGTGCTTTCGAGGCAGGTGCCGGAACCACTGAGCTAAATCCCCAGCCCTCCACTATACATGTTTCAAGAGCTTCCAGAATCCCATTCTATGACAGGATTGCAGTAAAAACCAACACAACACACTGAGACATGCTGTGGGGCTCTATCCAGATGAGGACGGGAACAACGGATTCTCTGCTGGTCATAACCCTATGCTTGCCAGGTAGCTGGCTCGAAAGGTAGGCCACCGGAATTCAAGCTCCACTCGTGGTTTTTTGGGGTTTTTTTGGTACAGGGATTGAACTCAGGTCCTTGCAGTTGCAAGGCAGATGGAGTCCACTCGTGCTTCTAGGCAAAGAAAGCTGAGCTGTAACCCTGATACTCTGCCTTCCTCGTTCATTGTCTTCCCTTAAGTTCAGTATCAGGCTTGGGAGCAAAATGGCACAAATTCACATAAAAAACTGAGTAAGGAAAACAGCTTCTTGGCTGGGTGTGTTGCTCAGTGGTACAAAGTACATTTAACATGCACAAAGCCCTGAACTCAATCACCAGTTCCAGAAAACAAACCAACCAAAAAATTAAACAACAGGGAAACCTCTGGCAAATAGAGAAAAGAAGATAGAGAAATCACTGTCTCTAAATACTGTATTTTGTGATCCTCACTGTAATATTAAAGGAAAGCTACAATGTAAATCAAAAGTTTTTATGCCTCAAACTTTTGCAGGAAAAAAAAATTTCACTGATGAAAATTAATTCCTATTAAACAGAAAATTCTTTCTTAGATGCATGGGATAAACATATTGCTAAAAATAATGGGAGAAATCTCATAGTCTGAGAGAAGAAAAAGAAAACGTTTTTCTGCCAGGAGGGACCTTTCCAAATAGAGGAAGCAGTTTCACAATCTTCAAAATTCGAAGTACATAAGAAAAGTGTCTTATCTGTCTCCAAACTCTCATCTATACTTTTCATATAAACTCATATATACTTTAAAATATGTAGCTCATTATCTCTAATGACCACGAATGTCTTGAGAAGTCTTAGCACATTTTTGTTTGATCCCTTGTAAACAGGTCTTCAAATTTGTGAATACAAAATTACTGTACACAACCATTTCTAAAGAATAACATGTGCTCCCATCCTCCTCTCCCCCATCCTTATAAATATCCCAAATGATACTATATTGGTACTTACCATTGTGTCAGATAATGACATTGCAGAAAAAGAAATGCCTGGATCATATCGGCTTGATTTAAAAAGATCTGTGAAATCAGCGTCACTGTTTCCAAGGTTTGGCAAATTTGACTTAAGAACACTTTCAATATGATTAGTCTTTTCCATATCATCACTGTTCTTCAGTTTGGAAAATTTAGTTTCTGGCATGTGCAGGTTGCTTCGTGAATTCAGATCTTCTTTGGTTTCCTCTTTTTGAAGGTACTTTTCCATGTGGCTTGGACTTTTCACACTTGAATGAGAAGTATTTGATGAGTTGAAATTAAAGACCTTTAAGGAGTTATGGGGCAGAAGATTTGGCTGTTCTTTGTTGGAGCCACTGGGCAGGGCACCCTGAGTTGTGGGCTGTCCCACTGAAGTCAGAGATGGGGAACTGTTCTGAGAAGTGCTGAAAGATGTGGTCATAGTTTTGACTGATGTCACAGAAGGAGAAAAGATTTTGTCTTGCGGTAAAGAAGATAATATGCTTGAGAAAAGTGCACTTTTTTCAAGCCTTGACCTTTTAACTCCACCATTGACAATATCCCTGTTCTCTTTGTCATTTATCTCTGGAGTCACCGGAGATTCACTTTTCCCATTAATGTTGCCGTGCAAGGACTTAAAGATGACACTGTTTTCAGCGGATGCACGTTTGGGTCTCAGTTTAGATTTGGGGTCCAGGCTCTGCATCAGATGTAAAGCGGGTAACATTTCTAGCTGGCTTTCCTTCTTTCCCAAACCAACAGTGAACACGTTGGGATCAAACACCTTTTCTAAATTGTCCTCATGAATTGGAGGCATGGCAAAATGAGGGGCAGGAGAGTTTGGCATTCTGACCTTCTTCTTCTTCTGAGGCACACAAACTGCACTGTCCATCTTTTTTATAATTTCAGTAAATTTTTCCATATCAGAAGAAGAATCAAATACACTGTCATCGCTACCAGCAGAGACATTCAAAAGACTAGCAGGGGTATCCTGGCTATTCACAACATTCTGATCTCGTCTTTGAGGAGTTTCTGAATAAACTCTGCTGCTTGGAGAGTTATTGGGGCTGGACTCAGCCACTGGAGGTAATCGGCTGCCCTCACTTTGAGCGTGGGTAGGCAAAGCTTTCTCAGATTCAGCTGGTATGAGATATGAGTCAGACTTTGCTATTTCTTCTTCTTTGCAACAAGTGTGCTTGGGTGATGTGCTTGTATTGCCCACTACTTCCTCTTGCTGGGGAGTACAACTTGCAACAGAAACCACCTCAAGTTCATTATTGTGACAACTTGGCAACTGCACTTCTCTAACTTCAGAGCTCTCTGAGATGATGTGGGAGCTCACATCCTGGGGGTTCTCCACAGGAAGTACAAAGGACCTGACTTGGACAAGGACCTTGGATGGATACTCATTTCCCACAGCTTCTGAGCTGCTCTCTGGAGACAAAGGAGGGTTTGCTTCTCCCCCTTCCCCAACTTTGGAGAGTGGCATTTTCTTGCTGTGGTGAGACATAGGCAAAATACATCCATTATGGTTTTCTGACGCTTTTAGATCAGTGCATGGAAAACTGCTTATGGGACCTTGAGCACATACATCTTTGGAAACATCCACAGGAATTGGGGCAGGTAGTGGGAGAGAAGGCTCAGCTGGGGGCTGTGAGTCAGCAAATGTATCTTGTGGCTTTGGAGGTAAATGTTTGCTATCAAGAGCAGAGGGGACATCTTGTGCTGTATCCATCAGATGTTCGAGTGCAAGTCTTTTGCTGTCAGCAGCCTCAGAGTCATCTTCTAAGAGTTTCTGGTGCTGGATAGGAATCAGAGCAGTAGCCACTGGTTCTGAGGGGCAGCCAGCATCTGTTTGCACATTTTCTGTATCATCTTGGTTGGGCTGAGGACCAGAAGCTTGACCCTTTGTGGGCTCTCCTCCCCTTTGTCTGGGTGCTGGGAGAATCTCTTCTTCAGGGAGAGGAACTTTGGTTTCTGCAGACTGTTCTTTCACCAGGCCACCATTCTGGTGACTGTTTGGCACTACTTTCTTTTCGGGTTGCTCCATTTCCTTAGCTTTTTTGGCCAAATTCAACTTTGCCCTCCCAACAAATGTCTTATTAGAGGCAGAAGTGTTCCTTGTGGCTCGAACGTCAGTGAGTCTTGGGCTATTATTTACCCGTTTATTTTCAAATAGGGAGATTTTGGTGGCAGTGTTTCCCTTATGAACTGGCTGGCTAAATGGATTATGCTCGTTTCCCAAACTATTAGGATTCTTAGGGGTTTTAAGATTTAGTTCCACATGCTTGGGTTTGGCAGGTCTGCAAGAAAAAAGCAGGACAGTTATTGACCCAGTTTTAAAAAGTGAACACACAAATGTATAACACTATGAAAAGCCAACATTTTCCTTGTATATGAAACATTTTAAGACACCTAAATACATTGTCAAATATTTTAATAGATTTTTTGTTTGCATATGAGGAATGATTAAGTTTATATAGCTAAGAAACGGAGGCAAAGGGACAAACAAATTTATGGAGCACTAATATATATGTACAGTGCTTGGCCCTACAGGTGGAAGATATTACAGGATCTGAAGAATATTAGAATAAATTTAAATATTTAATTCATTCTCACATTTTAAATAGGTAAATGATTTCCCCAAACATCAATTACATGGTTTTACTTTACTGTAACTTTTAAAAGTTTGTTTATTTATTTATTTATAGTTTTTGAAACAGGGTCTCATACGCCCAGGCTGGCTTCAAACTCATGGTGATCCTCCTGCCTCAGCCTCCCTCAGTGCTAGGATTACAGGTGTATGCCCAGCTCTAAAAAAGTTATCTTAAAAGGCTAGATTACAAAAATTTAATGTATTATTGACCCCTTTAGATATTTTTTTCTCTCCTTTCCACATAAGATTTTCCTGATTATATGTGCATTTACTTTAAGAAGTATTCATTTTTCTTTTTCTTTTTTTAAACAATGAGACAGAGTCTTGCTAAATTTAAATTGCCCAGGCTGGCCTCAAACTTGAGATCCTCCTGCCTCAGCTCGTGGAATAGGTGGGACTATAGGTATGCACCACCATGCCAGGCAGGAAAATATTTTTTAAAATCACTCATAATCCTACTTCTTAGAGAATATTCCCATTAATATTTTAGCCAATGGGGCTGGGGATTTAGCTCAGTGGCACTGCACCTGCCTCACAAGCACAGGGTCCTGAGTTCGATCCCTGGCAAAAAAAAAAATTTAGCTCATTTCCAGTCTTTTTTTTTTTTTGCGGGGGGGATTGAACTCAGGACCTTGCACTTACAAGGCAGGCAGCGGCACCACTGAGCTAAATCCTCGGCCCTTATTTCCAGTCTTTTTATATGCATAGTTAAATATTTTAATACAAGTGAGATTATCCTATTACTAGGGTTTGGTATCTTGCCTTTAAAAAAAAGCTTACTTAACCTTATATTTTAGGTTACTAAAAAATTCTGTTTGCAAAGTTTTCTTAGTGTTTGAATAAAAGTCCACCATATGTATGTATCACAATTTACTGATAAATTATTCAACTATTGGTTTTATAACCACTTGTTGGGTACAGAGAGGCTCCCCTCTCTGTCACATTTCTTGGGTACAACTGCTCCCCAATAGAAATAATGCCTTTAAATATACACAGTGCTTTCTTTCATAGGAACAAAATCTGCCCTGTTTGGCACTGGCTGGCCCTGGGCCCTGGCTCTCACACTAATTATCTGTGTGAATGCGGTCAAACTACTTTACCTCTCCGGACTCTACCTTCTCTCTATAAAAAGTAGATGGTTTAGTTGTTTTTATTTCCCTTCAACTTACCGTTGAGGGAATTTGGTGGTGGCTTGGAATAGTAGGGACTGCAGGATGAGACTGTCCACCTCCTTTCAACAATTAATCACTCCTACTTATCTGTTTTTATCACTTCTATACAAGCTTTCCTAGAAGGGTTCCAAAACTTTTTTTTAAAAAAAGGGTCTAGTAGTTTATAAAGTGGTAGAGATAAATAATAACCATTACTTAGTCAAGTGCCATCACTTAAATGCTTTATTTGAGGCCAGGGATTTAGCTCAGTGGTTTCGCTGCCTGCTGCGCAAGCACAAGGACCCAAGTTCAATTCATGGTACCAAAAGAAAAAAGATTGCTGGAAGAAATGCTTTATTTGGCTTACCTAATGTACAAATTTGTACATTCTGTTCTAAGGGGAGGAAGTTGAGGCTTGGAGAAAGTAACATTTCTGAGGTCACACAGTGACAGGGCCAAGGTCTGAAGCAGGTGCTGTGGTCTCAGATGCCATATTCCTGCCCACTATACTCTTCTGCTTCCCCATTCAGGGTGAAGAGAGGCTTGCCTAACTGAAGTCCTCTGGTTCTTTCCAGCTTTATCACTTTAGAGGTCAATGAGTTATCACAAGTTCTATTAGATAAGGCAATCAGACTTTAAAGCCACTTGATAGTGATACCACAAAGGTGGAGAAGCATAAAACTCTCACAGTCTCCCACATGGACTCCACTTTTTTAGAAGGCTAGGCCTGGAGCTTCTGGAAGGAGCAAGCAGGATAACTCCAGATAAGATCCTTTATCCTTCTGGGTAAAATGAGAAGCCTGGGCTAGATTTCATTAAGTTCTCCACAAATGAAAATTCAGATTTTCATCTTTTAAATTTTTATTTAAATACTGAGTTTAATATATGCTCATAAATTTTCCCAGCAGCTGTCCCCATTATATCCTTAAAATACCTAGTCTCCCTTACTGTAAAAGCAAAACCCCTTAAATTTAAAAGCAAAACTAACTCATAAGCCCTTCCTTAAAGATTATATTCTAAAACCAGTGAGATAATTAGAAATAGAGAGCTTACAAATGCTGTATCAATTACTGAAGGATGGTCACATACCAGGGAATACACCTTTAAAAATTGTCACCAATCAGCTCAAGGAGCAGTACTCAAGTCTGTTCATCAAACATCAAAGTAAATCTTACACGCAAATGGAAAATGCTATAGGTTAGCCAACAGCTACCTTGCGGATAGGAAACACATCTGCAGATTAAAGATCTGCACCAAGATCAAAACACCTTTTACAATCAAACTTTCTGTGCTATTAAGTGCTCCTACCAAGAGTCACTGCAATTAACCTAGTTGAGATTGATTAAAAGGAAGGCTCCTATAATTTCTGTCATAATGCCTGCATTATACTAATACGAGAGGGCAGAAAAGAATCCGGAATCTAGAAAGCCAAACGTATATAACAGGAAAATTCTATTTTAAATATACCATTTTAAGAATTTCAACATTCAGCACTTAGCAGAGAACATGAAGAAACAATTTTTCTAACAGCATAACGAAATATGTAGCTTCATATTCATTTTTCAGAGAATAAAGAATACAGTGGACCCTTGAGTTACGAACTCACCTCATTCCTAAGGGCTGGTTGTAACTCAAGTTGGTTAATTGCCTTCAAAGTCTCTCTACTGTATAACTGTAGGCCACACTTTTTCCAGGCAGATCTCAGTGTCCTTAGAGAGACACTGGCCCAAGATTTCACAATTAACCCACATAGGAAATGATATTGTAATGTTCCTTCCGGAATTCCTTAAGGGTTAAATCTGTATCTGAGGCTATCTGGAAGCACAAGCGGCCGGCATTCCGGTCATAACTCAAACTTTGGTCATAAGTTAAAACTAAAATTCCGGCCTTAGCCCAAGTTGTTCAAATGTCAGGCTGGTTGTAACTCAAGTGTCCACTATACCAGTAGTTTTTCAAACTCTTCAGTCTCAAATTGTTTTTAAAAATAATCTGTTAACATTTTTATTTGCAATACAACCATAGAAAAAATTAAAGTAAACTAAAAAAAAAAAAAATTAAAGGGTCTAAAAAACCCCATTGGTCAAACAGAAATAGATCAAAAGACTAGAATTAATTTTCATTTCAATTGTTTGCCAATTCACGTGTAAGGCATTGTGCAAAACAAAATTATATAAAATAAATAGTGAAGAAAAATTTTAGCTCAAAAATAATAAGTACCGAGAAAAAGACTTGGTTTAGTTTAGGAAGCAGCCCATGAAGGATTTCATTGTAAGATTGGCTTTTCTGTCCTTTGTTTACCCTGATTTTTAGCAGTAACAGTTCTGGTTTTTCCACTGCTGTCACCCCATTGGAAGACAACCGAAGTGTCCTCAATTAGGTACATAGCAACTCCCTCTAAGCCCACACTTAGGAAGGTTTCAGTGTATGCTCACCGTGGTCTTCTGCAAATAATGGGCATCATTCCCTCAGCTCACTTCTCCAGCGCCATGGTTACAGAATAAATAGCTGACTGTATCCAAGTCAGCTGCTGTAGGTTGGCAGCTGGTAAGACTGCTCACATTATTCATTAAGCACATTTTCCTCAAGTGTTTACCAGACTTCCTACTCCACAGCTTACTTCTCCAAGAAACCAAATAGAATGAAACCCATTCAGCTTGAGAAGGATAATGTGGGGCCAGGGATTTGGCTCAGTGGTTCAGGCACCTGCTCACAAGCGCAAGGTCCCAAGTTTGATTCCCAGTACCCAAAAAAAAGAAGGATAATGTTGCACAAATACCGGCTCTTTTAATAAATGTGCGAATGCAGGAATAACTTGAGCACTTACTCATTTTTCACCTGTGCTAAGTGGAGAGGGGTGAGGCAAGGAGAGCAGAAGCAGAGAAGGAAGTCTTCCGTTTTATAGCCCTATCCTATCCCCCTACAGAAATCACATTTATCAAGGCCCAAAGGCCCAGCTCCTTCAAAAGCCAACAATGATTTTTTTCCTCCCCAGAACTTCTGATTTGTCTGCTGAGTATCACCAAATGCCATGAACATTTCAAGAGCAACATCTGCAGGGCTCTTCCCCTATGCTACCTAGAACAATACGATGCATAGAAGGTACTCAATAAACATTTGTAAAATCAATAAAATTAACAGCACATACAGTGTTTTGTGCCTTTTCACTTAGCCAATAATTTCCCAGTAAGAACACATATCTTTTTTCCAATAATTGAAAACTGATTTTCAGCCTGGGAGCAAAAACAGCAGGTTCCCTAACATTATAGAGTGAAGGAAGCGATGAAATATTTGTATTGGGGGCTTTAAAAAGAAAATTAGGACAATCATGCACTGAGTTCCATAAAAGGTTCTATGAATTCTGTTAAACTCACCCCCATCACAACTCCTGGGTCATACCGGATGTATCAGTGTTTTCTTCTAGTGTGTTTTAAGAATGTCTTACCTTAGACCACCTGTGAACATTTTTCTTTGATTAAACTCTATAATTAGCTAACGCCAAACCATTAAGTCTTGTCTGTTATTTATGTAAACATAGAGCCTTAAGGGTTTTCCTACTTTTACATTCATTTACCTAAGATCTTACATGAAAACAAGAACCCACGAGGCTGCCAAATGTGTCATCTTCTTAAACTTTAACTGGGTAATCTGGTCCTTCACTCTCAAGATCAACACAGAAAATTCAGCGCACAGACAATTCCACAAACGCGAAGACCCCGCACCTTTCCTAACGGCACCCTCTACACGTCCCGTGGACATGCAACTCTGGTTGGACCAATTCCACAGCTACTTACAGGGTCACTTTTGTGGTCACCGTCGACCTGCCCACACCGAAATGGTTCCTGGGCTTCAAGCCGTCAGCCTCAGAAGCTCCAGCCGACCTGCCCTGCTCTTTGCTTCGGCCTCCCTCCCCCCGGCCATCGAAGTGGTTGGGGACAGGGCCCCTCTTGTGCTCGGGTTTGATCTCCGGCAGCAGAGAGCTGCTCTTGACCGTAAGCTCACGAGGGATCACCCGGGCCACTTCCTCCCCGTAGATGGTCAAGGCGCCCTTAGTGTTCGGGCCGGGGTCGGGCGCGGGCGCTCTCTTGGGTGGCAACTCCTTGGCGGTAGCCCGGGGAGCGCTGGCTGGAGAGCTGGGCAAGGGCTCCGGGGCGCGGCTCCTGCCCTTCCTCTTGGTGGGGGACGAGCCCGAGGCCGAGGCCGAGGGAGCCTGTTTGCTGCGGTCCGACTCCCCGCGGAGCTGCCCTTTGGGGCCGGGCTTGGATTCTGGGCTAGCCGTGGAGGCAACGCCCCCGTCGAGGGCCGCCCGCGGAAATTTCACTTTCATTTCAGCGGAAACTGAGACGTTTGGCGCCACCTCATCGTCGAACACCGCGTCGTCCGGGGCTGGGCTCTCGGGCAGCGCGGCGTCGGCGCCGAGGGAGTCCGTGGATTTGTGCGACTTCCTTCGTCGACCGGACCTGCGGCCGCTTGACCTCTTCTCCATGTCGGAATCACCGCAATCTTCTGCCCCGGGTATAATTACGACCGGCTCGTCCACCTGCCCCGCCTCGGTCTTGCTCAAGTAGATATCCAAAGTTAACACTTTGGCGGGGTGGGCGCGCTCCGCGGGCCGGGCTGTGCCGCTAGGCTCCTCGGAGACGGCCCTATTCTCTGCGCCCTGGGCTGGAGGGTCGCTCGGCAGAGCGGAAGCGTCTTCCGGGGGCTGGCTGCCTGCGTCCAGGGGAAGCAAAGTACTTCCTTCAGGACCCACTTGGGGGGCTCCGTCGGGGGCCTCGCCTAGTCCTGCCCCGGTGGGCGACCCCGGCGCACCTCGCGCGGTCTCCTGTTCACGGCCAGCGCCGGGCACGGCGTCCTCCCCCGGAATGCGGGCAGGTGTCTCTGCGTTCTCTCGCCTGGAGGAATTCCCAGGTGAGGAATGCAGCTGCTTGGCAGCGGTGGTGGCATCTGGGAAGGTCTCTCCCTTTGCCTGAAGAGGTTCTAATTGGGGTGAATCATGGCACTGCTGCACTACTGCTGCACTGCTGCTCGACGCAGGTGACAGCTCCAGCTCGGCGTCGGCGGGGGTTGCCTGGATACGTCCCTCAACATCCTTGGCCTCAGCCTCCGGGGGCTGCTCCCGGGGGGAACCCGCCTCGCTCAGGTCTGGTTGCTTTAGTTGGCTGCACGGAATTTTGCTCTTCTCACTCTCTCTTTCAGGGAGTTTAGAAGAGTTTCCATTTTGGGGGGAGAGAGATTTGGCGTTTGAGCTGGTGGGACTGGGACTCTCTATCCCATTTCTGATGTTCCTTCTCCTTCCAGCTGTAAACAGAGTGCCAAGTTTCCCCAAAACTGGTTTCCTTCTGTTGTCTTCTGGTGGTTGTGCTCTGGACTGGAAAATAAAAGGGATGGAGAGAGAACATATGAGAATCCGGGTATTTCTCCTTTAGTAGCATATTCCAGTACTACTGCAAGCCAGGATGGTAATAGATCAGTGTTTCTGATTGAAAATGAGAAAGTTGTGTCTTTGTTATATTCTTTCCAACAAAAACTCTGGCTTTAAGATTTTGACACTACATAGCATAGTATTACCTATAATTATACTTAGGTTTTTAAAAGATCCAAATAGCTACACATATAAAACAATTCCTAGTTCTTGCTAGTATCTGCTTTTGACCTCAATAAAGATGCAATTTCAAAACAATCATACGTGACTACAGGGGACAGAATTATTTCCCTGAAACAATCGCCCTTTTATAGAACAGATGGGGAAGAGGAAAAAAACCCAAAAAAACCCAGGAGAAGCCTTCTGGAGAACTCTGGTTTCCACATGTTTGTAAAATTATAGTTAAGAAAACGTGGAGGAATCAGCACCTGGCCGGCCGAGCCACGCGGCGGGAGCCCTCCTCCAATGGGAGAGACGCGTGGGCATTCAAACTCCAGGCCGCCCTGCCCCTTCCGGCTCCCCGAGAAGCTTTGACCGGGGGAGGTGGGGGACGGCCGCCCAAGCTGCACTATCTGGCCTTGGTGAGGTCCGAAGCGAGGAGGTGTGTCCTCGTTGCCCTCGCGGGGTTCCAGGGGGGGCACTAGCCCGGCCCCGGGACCTACAGTTCCGTTGTGCACGCAGGTCCCGGAAGGGGAAAAAAACTGCGCTTCCTAGAGCGCCTAGAGCAAAACGGTCCGCACCAGGTGCTGGCCCCTGAAGCCAGCTCTGAGATCGGATATTGAAAACAAAGACGCTAAGGGGCGCGGCCTGGAGGAGCGGGCGGGGTCTTGGTTTAAGCCTGATAAAAACCCGGGTGGACCCCAGACTGTTGGGTGTGGCCTAGTCATTTAAAACAGCGCTTACACTCCAAACCAGGTGCTAGCTAGAGTCCAGTAGAGACTGGAAAGCAAGCTCAGAGACGGAAGCAAAGTATGTTGGTAAGGGCTGTAAAGTCAGGATTCAAACCCAAATCTTCCAATTTGAGTTCGTGCTCCTTCGAAGCCCTCACTGGGGAGCCCCACACCAGCACCCCAGAGCCCCAGTGGGCCCAGAGTAGAAGTAGAAGCCAGGCCTCACAACCAGAGTCAGTGCCCGAGGAAGCCCTCTGTAATCAGATTTGCTCACAAACTGCAGGTGATGCTTCCAGCTTGAGAAGCTGTTGGTGGGAGCTCTGGAACTTGAAACGCTTCTCAGCAGACAGGCTAATGTCTGTGCAGCCACCTGAAACTTTTGCGGCTGAGGCTAGAGCCTTCTAAAAGCTAACCAGATTTTGGTCGAGCCAATTCTTCCTTCAGTGGTTCTATAACCAACAGGAAAGATTTGGTGTGCTTAAGAATACATTAAAATATTCTGACTTCCTAAGGAAACATTTGGTTGGATTCTTTCATGAGTCAAAGGTATTACAGGATTTGTTTTTTGGTTCTTTGGTGACTGTCTAGTCCAGGCTGGCCTTGACTTCTATATGCAACCCAGACTGGCCTGGAACTCAGGATCCTCCTGCCTCATCCTCTTGAGTGCTGAGATTACCTGCATGTGTCCACCACATCTGGCTTGTACACGATTTTTAAAAATAATATGTGCTTACTGTGCCCTCTTTACGACACTAAGAGACTTATGCAGATTTACATTACATCCTCCCAGCAGACCTTAAGGTAGATAACCTCTGTATGCCACTCTGCCAAAGTGACTTGTCCCTGACCAAGTTCCTGAGCCAGTAGAATCTTTCTGACTCTGAACACAGGATTCTGCCTCCATTGTCTCTACAAGCCATGAAACATGACCTGAAGAAGTAGCCAGGGAAAATAGGTTTGAGTGTATTGGCTCAGTTCCAGTCTTTGTCAAACTTAAACAACTATCATTCTGTCCTGCCAATGATGTTGCAATGTTTCCCACGCCCAATCAGCAGTCCTCTCCTTGCTATTAGGCATTTATTTTCCCATCTCACTTTTGGCAATAGTTTTTACAAAACTAGTTACTTGTTCTTCAGCTTAGCTATCAAGTACTTGACTACTTTACTCCCCAGATACTTCTAGACTGTTCTATTGAATCTCCTGGAATTTCAGTTCTGTTTATACACACATGTTCATAGCAACTTCATAATAGCCCAATACTGAAAACAAGTCAAATGTCCTTCTACTGATGAATACATAAATTATGGTACACCTGTATAACAAAATACTACTCAGCAAGGAAAAGAAACAAAATTTTGAAACATGAAGTGACAGGGATGACTACGCCAGACTCAAATGGTTATATACAGTAATGTGGATTTTTATGACATTTGAGACAATGTAGATCTAACAAAATACTGCTAGAGGGGCCGGGGATTTAGCTCAGTGGTTTTGCCACCTGCTGCGCTAGCGCAAGGACCCGAGTTTGATCCCTGGTACCAAAAGAACCCCACAAAATACTGCTAGAAAGTAGATCAGTGGTGCCTGAGGGCAGGGTGTGGAAGAAGGTGAGACTATGACTGAAAAAAGACCTAAAGGAACTCTGAGAGGTAATGGAAATTTCTACATCTTGATTGTGGCAATGGTTACACATGTGTGCCTGTTTTTAAAAATCTCATCAAACTATACACCTAAATGGATACCTAGCCAGATGCAGTGGCACTTGCCTGTACTTCCATCTACTCAGGAGGCTGAGGCAGGAGGATTACTTGAGCCCAAGAGTACAAGGCCAGCCTAGAGAGACCTCATCTCCTTTTAAAATTTTACTTAATTTTAATTTAAAATAAAAAGATCCCATCTCTTTGGGGAAAAAAGATAGCCATCTGGATAAACAAAGGTCATGCAATGAATGACAGCATGACAAGTTTGTAAATTATCTGACAACAGCTGAGAGCCACTGAAGCTCCTGAGCAACAGAGTAAAGACACCACCCAGTGCCTCGGTCTGCACTGGCCCATCAGAACTTTAAGGCCAGTGGATCCCACTGTGCCTTTCGCCATTGTAATCCTTCCTCATTGCACCAGGTAAAAACCTATTTAAAAATGTGTATATTATAATTTGTTATGTGTAAATTGTACCTTCATAAATTAAGCTTTCCCTCTGGAAATAGACAACAGTGTGTGGCACATCTGTCTGGTTTGGGTACACATACTTCATAGTTCTTAATGGAGAGGGTGGCCCTCATATTTCAGTTTCGACTCCTTTACAGGGGAATGCAGTCTTCTCCCAAAAGCCCAGTAGGCCAGGTTCCTGTGGGTCTCCAGGAGCACATATCTGAACAGGATCATCTGAGCAGGACAATGTACCACTGCTCCTCAGTAAAGTCCGAAGTCACATCTTTGTAGAACACCCCTTCCTAAACAGGATGCATGTTTCTTTTTAGCCAGGGATTCTTTTCCACTGTTCATGGAGGAAGTATGACAGATGAGAACAAGAAGCTAAAATGGTCTGAGAGTGCTGGTAAGCATTTTTTTAGTAGGAGTTTTGGGGACTGGAGTCTTAAATCTTAGATGAGAAGTCACAAACCCAACACCTTCTCTCGACCTTGATGATGATCTGTTAGGAAGGGGAGTGTTTTGCAAAGAGGACATCAGGGCCCATCAGACTGTTCTATGATCTCCCAGACCCCAACCTCCTCCACCCCCTACTCTCCTGGACTTGGGAAGGGTCTTGAGGGCTCTTAGGCTGGATGTTCTCAGAGCAACTGTAATCTCAAGACCTCTGTGATTATCTTCTTACCATGTACAGCTTCCGCTCTCCTCACCGAAAGCAGCCTGCATACCTCCCTGCACAGAGCCTTTACTTGACTTCCTCCCACCACCCACTGGGACGGGAGCAGTCTGCAGAACTATTTTAGAGATGGTCTTTGAGTTGTGTGCCAGGGCTGTTTTAGAGTGTTCTCGCTGGCTAACATTAAATGTGACTTGTTAGGGGACATTGCAAGCACCCATGGTGAGATCATACTCCAGCAGTATGTAGAGGCTAAGGCAGAGCTGGCGGCAATGCTGGTCTGTGAATTGCAACCTTTATAGTATGGTAGCATACAGGTGTCATTTAGTAAATATTACCTTGCACTTGTATAATTTCAGAAATCTATGTTATCTCATTTATGGGAGAGCTAAAGGCGAGGACACGCAGGATAAACTGTTAATGTATTGGAGGATGTCCTTTATCTAGACATACAGGCAAAAGAGTATTACGTTTTATTTTTGTTTGTTTTGATTTTGAAGATTACCAATTGGAATCATTGCTTTAAATTTAGAGGTACTTCACCTAAACGCATTTGGAGGTTGAAGAAAAATATACATAGAGCATATTATTTGAAAATATGACAAACTGTTTAAAAGAGTATTTGGGGGAGATTAATAGCAATTTGTGTTTCACTGAAATAATTTTACTTAAAGAAAAAAAGTCTTTCATATGTGTCCTATTTTTTCATTCCCTGGTAGAATGTAAGCCCTCAATAGGAAGAAAACTGCCCTGTCATCAATCTCAACAGTTTGCATGAAGACTTCTAGCTAAAGGCAGACATCAAATATTTGCTGCTACTAAAGAAAAGGAACAGTCCTCTTCCTTTTCAAGGAGTTATCAATGTTCTCAGAGATTACTAGAAGCACAGGTCTACACAAAACAGAATGAAAATTGTTTCTACCCAGGACTCGAATGCAGTCAAGAGTGTTCAGCTTCCTTCTGCCCACGTGAGGAATTCAGCTGTGGGCACATGAACTTCTATTTCTGAAGGTTTACTGCTGGCTCCCAGCCCAGCTCTGACTCCAGTGAGCAGATCCAGATCTTTTTACATGTCCTTGCCTGTGCGTCCTAGAACGTGGTCATCAAACTACAAAAGGAACTTTTTTTTACACACCTGTGATTCCCTAAGAGCTCACTTTGTTGTTTTCTGAAAGATACTATAGATCTCAACCATAGTGGGGAATGAGTCAAGTGGATATTATTATGAACAATGTGATTAGCCATGTTATTTTGACAATACTTTAGTCTCACAACATATGTATATGTACATGTATATGTATATGTTGGTGAGGTATTTCTTTTTTCTTAAGAGATTTTTGGGTTTTTTTAATTGTTGTTTTTCCTGCTGTGCTGGGAATCAAACCCAGGGCTTTGCAGATTAGTGCTCTATCTAGATTAGTGCTCTATCACTGAGCTGTATCTCCCAGACTTTCTGAATAAATTCTTTTTTAAAAATAGCTTTACTGGGCCGGGGATTTAGCTCAGTGGTTCCGGAGCCTGCCTCGCATGCGCAAGGTCCCGAGTTCGATCCCAGGTACCAAAAAAAAAATAGCTTTACTGGGCCAGGGATTTAGCTCAATGGTTCCGCTGCCTGCCTTGCAAATACAAGGTCCTGAGTTCGATCCCTGGTACCGGAAAAAAAAAAGAAGAAGAAGAAGTATGGCTTCAAAAATATAAGAATTTAAGCTATTTCCCCTTCCATGTTTAAAAATAAAAATAGGGATTAGAAAATCTTTTCAATAAAACAAGAACCACATGACAGCTAACTAAAGAATGAAAGATGGGGAGTAGGGAAGGGGGAGAAAGAAGTAGTTCAAAGTTGGATAGAAATCTGATGTAGAATTATGCTGGGAAAAATAAATAAGCAAAAAAGCAGAAATGACTAATGAGAGATTGTTCTTTTTATAACTTCCAAGAAGTTATAAAGACTTTTAGAAATTGCCTTTTCCCATGATAAGTATACAGCTGAATATCATCTCAGTATCTGCAGTGGCAGAGACATGAAGTTAAATTTAAGGTAGGATCCAGATGTGGAACCCTGGTATTACAGACCTGGATTTGGAAGAGGCATTCAAAATGAACTTACTAGGACTAGAGGCGCAGTGAGGTCCTGAGGTCAATCCTCAGCAACAAATAAAACAGAATAACTATCTTCCCTACCGATTTTGTGTTTTCCTTTTTGATATTGCTTGTGCTACTATATATGCCACACATAAATGTTCACATAAATAAACCTTGACTTATTAACCACTGAAACTTTTATTTTAACTTTTTAAATATTTTCTACCACGTTATCCAGTTCCTTCTCTCAGAATATACTAAAAAAGATTTAGCTACTTCTTAACAATTCTAGAAAGGGAATGATGAACTTCTGTTATTCCATTTGAGCTATACTAGCGGTTTCTTCCAAGGCTACTACGAGTGAAGACAGGCTTGTACTAAATGACCAGACTCTAACACTGTTCAAGAGTAAACAGGTTTCTTATGAAAAAGCATATGAAATGGCTACAGTCAGTCATTTTTGATCTATGGTCTAATTTCATATAGTACAACATGTTAGATCTTCAGAGCCTCTCCTGCCATCATCCCTCCTGTCAGTTTTCCAGGGAGAAATGCTTGCTCCTCCCTATGCTATTTCTACCACCTGTCACCCCTTCCAATGCCCACCCCATCTCTGCTATTTTTCCTTTTTTTTAAATGTCTGTCTCTCCTTTCAATGTATGTCAGACACAAAGCTTCGCTTACACCTCAATATGCTCCTTTTTTCTAATGCAGCCAATTTTTTATTTTTTTGGTACAACTTAAATATACATAATCACACTCATCAAAGGGAGTTTGTATAGCTTGATTCTTTTTCTCCTGTTCTCCTTCTCTCTTTTTATCCCCCCTCCCCATTTACAAAAGCTAATGCTGCCACTTTAAACCAAACAACAATCGCAGCTCATGGTATAAAATCAAAGATATATTATTGGGTGAAAGAATAGTAACAGACTATTTTTTTTAACTTTCAGGTTTATTGGTATCCTAAAAAAAGGAATTATTGAATATCATTATTGAAAGCCATTATGTATGACAGTTCAATTTTCATTATTCCAAAGAGTTTCTTTTAAAAAGCAGATTCACCAGGTATGGAAGCACATGCCTAAAATCTTAGCACTTGGGAGGCTGTGAGTTCAAGGCCAGCCTTGTCTGCATAGTGAGGTCAGGGCCAGTCTGATAATGATGATGATGATGATGATGATGATGATAATAGTAATCAGACTCCTAGTTTTGGAAAAGAATTATTAATTTTTTGACAAAATAGAGTGAAACCTAATTGTTTAAAGCTACTTATACTTGACCAAAGAAAGGAAGATAAAATTGTAGAATCTTTTATTCCTTCACTAATAATTATTGAGCATCTACTTTGTGCCAAAAATTTCTCCTTACCTAAAAGAGGCAAATCATGGCTCAAAGAGTCTAAATAATTTTCCTAAGACAAACATCAGGCTTTAGTTAGCTCCGAGCTGGGTGTGATGGCACCTGCCTATAATCCTAGCAACTTGGGAGACTGAGGCAAGAGGACTGAAATTTGGAGGCCAGCCTGGGCAATTTAGTAAGACACTGTATCAAAATTTTTAAAAATTAAAAAAGGGGCCGAGGATTTAGCTCAGTGGTTTCGCTGCCTGCTGTGCAAGCTCAAGGACCTGAGTTCGATCCTGGTACCAAAAAAAAAAAATTAAAAAGGGCTGGGGGTATACAGTTCTGTGCTCCCTGGGTTCAACCCCTCCCAAAACAAAAAGCTCAGAAATTTTTCCCATTTGAAATTATAATATATCATCAGAAAAATAAGTAGAACAATAGTAGCTGTGATGAAGCAAACAGCAGGTGAGCCCTTTTGTGACTGAGGAAACATTGTGTGCTGGGTACTCTGCTGGCTCACCCCTCTTACCCATAATCTGTGTGCCTGGCCCTACACCATAATATTTATGCCTTTGGTTTTGGGTAGACTAGGCCAGTAGGGGCCACTAACCAGAGAAGGGCTGAAGTGAAGCCAAGGTAGTATTTCCCCTTCTCCCCACTCTAAGTGGGCTCTGAGTTGAGTGGGCTGGTGTAACCAGGGCTTCCAAATGGCTGACTCTCTAGGTTCCAGTCACTGCTTCCTCCTCTTGTTCCTTCAAGAGGCCTCGAGTGAGAAAGGGTCTCAACACGTGCCAGCTGGTATGTGTTTCACTAGTCTTTGCTTGAGGGTACAGCAAGATTTTGTAGGGCTGAAGTATATGTAACTTTGAGAGCTTTAAGGAAAATAATGCAAAATTCTGGATTATAAATTTAGTCACAGGGCCTTGGAAGAGGCCATAGTGAGTGAAGAACCCTGGAACTTAAGCTTCTTTTTGTCTGTTTTATTTTTATTTATTTATTTATTTATTTAGGTACCAGAGATCGAACTTGAGACCTTGTGCTTGCGAGACATGCGGTGGCACCACTGAGTTAAATCCCTGGCCCTTTGTTTTATTTTAAGACAGGGTCTCACTATGTAAACTCAGGCTGGCCCTGAATTTGCATTGCTTCTGCCTTAGGGATTACAGGTGTGCTCCACCATGCCTGGCTTGATCTTAAGCTTCTTTAACCACTCTTGGTTTCCTTAAAACCTGGCCCACACTTCTTAAAATATTTCTTCATTATTTTCCTCAGTTACTCCGTAATTATGCTCCCTATTTCCTGGTCTGGGATCCCAACCAACACTAACTGAGTGCCTTATAAGTAGCAAGTAACCCAGAATGCCTCTCGACATGTAAATTGAACAGTGTCCCTAACATTTTCTTTTTCTCACAAAGATAACTGTCAAGCTGAATTAATTTGCTTTACATTTGAGATGTATAATCCTAATCTGGTTGTATTTTTTCTTGTGCACAATGTATAACTAAAAGGAGATAAAGGAATTTGAAATTTATAGCAAAAGAATCTCTTATTCTACCTCCTGGATTGGGTGCACATACTGATTAACATCATCATTTGACTAATTAGTTTCTAATTAAAGTTTAGACAAACTGAAAAATGAAAATGTATTCATTGTGAAATTGTCAAATTAGTTCTTTTTTTTTACTAACTCAAAAAAGCATCTTAACTATGAAATTTAAAATGAGTGATTGCACAATAACTCATGTTAATGATCAAGAATAATTTCTTAAAAAAAAAGAATAATTACTTTAAAACACCATTAAACTGCCAGTGAGTCTCAGCATTAAAGTAATAATGGACCAAGGACTAATCCTCAATTGTGAAATCAATATATAGATACATACAGACCCACACCAAACATGAAGTAGGATCAAAATATACGGTGAATATTTAAATTAAAAAACTTTATAGTTTTAGAAGTCTTACTGAGTCTTTACAAGGAGTGAATTAAAAATATATATATACAGTGAAGGCTGCTGCCGAGCGCCATCCAATGGAAAGACAGGCTTGTAAAAATATTACAAAGAACCCTCATCCACCTTATTCACTGGATGTGGCACCAAGTGACTGGTTCCTCTCTAAAGTCAAAGTGGTCTTGAAAGTAAATGTTTGGGGTTAGGGATTTAGCTCAGTGGTGCTGCTGCCTGCCTCACAAGCGAAAAGACCCAAGTTCGAGCCCCAGTACCAAAAAAAAAAGAAAGTAAATGTTTGGAATTGATTCAGGACACGGAAGCAGCCACAACGGTCCAACTAAAGAAACTCATGAATGAGAACTTCCAGAACTGCTTCAGAAAGTTGTGAAAATGATGCATGGGATGTCTGTTTGAAGAAAGAGGAAATATTTTGAAGATTAATGGCTAAGTGTCTTTTACTAAGCTTTGGACACTCACCATATTTTTTGATCACACTAATGATATAAGGGGGCAGAAGAATATAAAGAGGTAGGGGGGACAGACAGCATCCTGCTCTCCCACCAGGCACGGGGGCGGGGCGGGGAGCAGTCAGGTCTGAAGCACTGACTGAAAACAGGCAGAAGACTGTGTAGGGGGCAGCTCTACAGAGGAATGGACAAGCCTTTCCAACACAACACCGCTGACTAGGCTGTCTCTGAGATGGCTAGTGGCCTTGAAACTTTGAGATTGTCAAGGCTAGTGCCCTTGAGACTTCCTAACTTGACAGTGTTTAACCACACTGAAATGTATAGCAGAAAATAGTGATATAGTTTTAGAAAATGGAATAATTTTTATCTTTACAACTAATGTATACTGCCCAGAAATTTTGTTATTCCTACTACAAATTACTGACTTCCTAGAAATTCTTTTCAAATTAATAAGTAGAATGCATGCTTTCATGAAGAAA